CCCCCCCGAGTGCACAAATTTTTGTGCACCGGGCCTCTAGTATATATATAAAAGCCTAAGCAACTGTTTGACCAGTAGCTATGACATGCACTCTCCACCAGGGGGCAGATGCTCAACGCACAGGCATGGAAACATGAAACAGACTGATGAATGTCAGAGGGAAGGGGGAAGAGGGGAGGGTGGGAAGAGATTAACCAAAGATCTTATATGCATACTAAGGCCCGGTGCATAGATTCGTGGGGTCCCTCAGCCTGGCCTGAGGGGATCAGGCCGAAACCAGTGGTCCGACATCCCCGAGGGGTTCCGGATTATGAGAGGGCGCAGGCCAGGCCAAGGGACCACACCAGTGCACAAATCTGTGCACTGGGCCTCTAGTTTAATATAATGTCTCAAAAGTCTTGAAAATATTCATAACCTTAGAATAAGAAATTTTGTGTAAGAATTACTTCTCAAGAAATAAAAATGCGATATAGTAGGTGTACTGGTTAATAATGCGGATTTTGTAATCAAAGAAAACACAGTAATTTCAAGAGAAACATCCAAAGTGCATTATCCAAAGTAATGTCCATCAGTAGCTACACATTTCCCTCATCTTTCAGGTAATTTATGGATACGGTTCCAATAGAACTTTTCTTGTTTTGATGCAAACAATTCAGAGACCCAATTTTCCATTTCTTCGTCCGTTTTGAAGTGCTGCTCAGAAAGTGCATGTGCCATCGATTGGTAATCTGAAGGAGCAAGATCTGGTGAATACAATGGGTGGGTTAATACTTCCCAGGCAAGATCTTTTAACATGTCTTTAACTGGTTTTGAAGTGTGTGATGGTGCATCATCATGAAGCAAAATTATTTTGCCGTGTCTTCTGGCACATTCTGGTCATTTCGCGATCAAAGCGTGGTTCAAATTGATTATTTGTTGTCGGTAGCGATCAGTATTATCGGTTTCACATGGTTTTAGAAGCATATAATACACCACACCCTTCTGATCTCACCAAACGCAGAGCATTCTTCTTTCTGAAACGATTTGGCCTTGCAGTCGATGTTGATGGTTGAACTGGATCAACTATTGATTTTGTGCGCTTGGGATCTCAAAATAAATCCACTTTTCATCGCGTCACAATTGGATGCAAAAAAAGACTTTCTTGTGTGTTGAAGCAACATTTTACTGATGACTTTTTGGTTTTCCTTTTGTCTTTCGTTCAGTTGATGTGGCACCCATTTTCCTTCCTTTAAAATCCTTCCCATTGCTTATAAACGATCAGAAATTGTTTACTGAGCAACGTTTAATCTTTCTGAAAGTTGTTTTTGAGTTTGACACGCATCTTCTCCAATAATGCTTGTAACTGTTGGTCTTCAAACTTTTTCGGTTGACCTGGACGTTCTTTGTCTTTCACATCAAAATCATCACTTTTAAAGCATTTAAATCAGCGTTCACAAGTATCTTGAAATGGAGCATGTTCACCATAAGTTTCCCGAAGGATATGATATCTTTCAGCAGCACTTTTCTTCAAAATAAAGTAATGAATTAAAACTTCCCTCAAATGTTTTTTTGCACGAAATTCAACATTTCTAAGTGTAAAAATATCTATGATGTTAACACCTTCAGAAAATTTGACATATGAAGTTTTGAAGCTTGCTGTCAATATAACAAAATAGCATACATATCAAATCGTATATCAACATATGTATAACTTCATCTATTAAAAAAAATCCACATTATTAACCAGTACACCTGGCATATTTAAATTTAGCTAAGTCATTTATGTATTTATAAAAGTGAAAAAAAGGATAAACATAAATATTTAACAATAAGAACTGATAAAATAATAGAAAATTCTATTCTATGAATACTCAACCCTCAGAGTAGCAATCAACATAGCTCACTACTGACAGTCCTATTTGGCAAACTCTGGTTTTTCCTTTTTTGCACACCTTCTAAATGTTGAATCATCTTGTCCTAGGCCACAGTTCTAGCCCCTTTCTCTTAGCTAGTGCCTGCTTTAGGTAACCACCTACCATTAATAGGACTTGTTAGTTTCCAAAGTATATTTCAATTGTCTACTTCTCCCCATCTCTAGTACTACACCCTTGGTCTAAGCCACTATTATGTCTCATCTGAGTTCATTGCGCTACTGACCCCTATAATCAATTATCCACAAACAAACCAGACTTTGTTTTTCTCTCCTGGAGTTTCCTCTTTAACTCTAAACAAAGTCCTAACTCCTAATCATGGCCTATAATGTTCTACATAACTGGCCCTTGCCCCCTCTCCAATTTCATTTCTCACAAATTTCCTACAACTACATGGGTCCTCCTCTAGTTCCTTAAACAAGCCAAGCTAGTTCCTATCTTAAGGCCTTTAACTCTGTCTGGAACGATCTTGG